TCTCCCCAGTAGCCACAACTCTGCACTCCTCTGATCACTTAAACCTGCAGCATCTTTCACCCCGTGTGAACCTTGTGCTGTCTGCCTCCGAAGGCTCATTGTGTATTCTGTCTGTATCAAAAGGTGTTTAATGCCGCCATCACGTTTTCCTCCTCCTGCCCCGCCCTGCAAACAATGTTCCGAGGTGCCCGCATTGTCCTGAATCCCGGACAGCTGCTGGAAACCCAAAATTTATAGTTTCAGATCTGACCGCATAATAGAGGACGCTGACGAGCGTGAATTATGGCGCCTCGACACAAACAACATTGTGTTGCAGACCGTCACTTTCCCTGAAGTATGAGGCAATATGTTATTCCAATCTAGACTGCCTTGACATGAGAAAACGCTCTCACGTCTGGTCGCCCGGCTGCAGCCAACACAGCATATGTCATTGGTTGTTCATCCTAACCGGTCACGTCCGAAATGTTGGCGCAGCACGGACAAAATCTCTATGTGCATTGGTGGGCAAAATCTCCAGCGACCTTTTATTACAGGGTATCCGAAGCTCAAACTGAGTTTTTTAGTTTTGGATAGTGAAGGGGTTGAGTTGAAACCACTGTCGGGTGTTATTGTCTTTGCCCTCTATATTTGTCCTGATTAGTGATGGGCTCGGGCGTGTTTGCCCCACGCCGCAGCACCAATCACAGGCACAGGGACACTTCCCGATCTCTGCAGCTGCGGACCGGGATAATGTCTCAGTACCTGTGATTGGCGCTTCGGCATTGTCAGCTTCCTGGCAGGCTCGGCACGCGGAGCTGCGAACACGTCCGAGCCCATCACTAGTCCTGATGACCAATTGCAGGAAATCCATAATGTTGCAGTTGTCACTGGAAAACAGAACCCTAGAGGGGAAATCTTCCAGTGAAATCACCTTTTCCAGTGACCGCTGACTATACACTATACAATCTGATTGTACAACAGGGGTGGACAATTGAATATGGAATTCAGGAGCCAGTCTATATAATCCATGAGCCAGCAGGATTTTTTTTTAGCAGCTCTATTGACAACTAGAGAAAACCTCAAAAGTTAGACACCAGATGTAATTTCTAATAAACATTGGTGACCCAGTTCCTGGGATTTGTGCAGCCCTGTTATACATTCTCCATTAAAGGAGAACTATGGGGTCAGGGCTTTTCCCCAAAGTTCTCCTAAGGCTAACGGGAGGACACAAACAAGCGTCCTCCCGTCACCCAAAGCTCAGTATAAGCTCGCGGTATACTGAGACACCGCAGCCGGAACGGATCCCGACAATGCTGTCTGGATTAGGGCTGCAACAACTAATCGACATAATCGATTATAATCGATTATTGAAAAAGTTGTCAACTTTTTCAATAATCGATTAATCGGCTTCCGATCAGTTGGCCCTGTTCACGGCTCCACACACACGCTGCGCGCCGCACCTCCTCCCCAAATCACGCTCATCGCTGCCTGACCCGCCCACCCGCATCCACGCTTTACACGACGCACCTCCTTCCCGCCTCACGCTCACCGCCCGCCCACATCCACAGGGACGCGGGGAGATGTAGTAAGGAGGAGCAGGTGTGGGGGGATGACAGCCGTCGACAGACAGACCCGATCTCAGAAGCAAGTTGCTGGAAGTCTGCTCAGGTAAGCCTGCACTTTCCCCCACATGGTGCTCTATAATGTATTGCTGGGATTTGTATTCCTCTATAGCTGATGGTACATTGTGCTGTATATTATACATAGGAATACAAATCCCAGCAATACATTATAAACTGTATGTATAATGTACTATTGCTGGGATTTGTTGTACTCCTCTATAGCTGGTGCTATACTGCGCTGTATAGAGGACTACAAATCCCAGCAATAATACATTATACAGCACCATGCGGAATTCCACCAGCTATAGAGGAGCAC